TAAAATTTGACTTTTTCCCCAGAAAAAAAAAGTTTTTACACACACAACTTAACTTAATATAAAGTTTTCTAAAAGTATGCATTCTGGTTTGTCCTTCTAGAAACTAGACCTGTCACGTCAGTATCAGTATTAAACCAGGTCAAAGAACAATAACGTTACTGTAGAGCACCATGATGGTGGTGTTTTAAGGGCACCATTTAAAAGAACAATCCGCCTTTGTAAGTGAAGGTGGACCCATGTTGTGGGGTTATGGAAGGAGGGTTGTTAAGCTGACACCATTAGCATTCAGCCTGGATTTGAATTAAAACACTGCCTCACGGGGCAGATGACTAGCAGGAAGGTGGCAAAATGCAAGAAACCCCCTTTTCCATTTCCGGTGTCAGTATTTAGAAATGTGCATCCTGGATTTCCTTCATCTGCTGAGGGAGAGGAAACTGCTCTGGGCTACAGAGTTGTGCCTGTGCTCAGATTTCTGCCCTTCCCCTTGTCTGATTCATACAGGAAAAAGTGTGTATACACACACTTGATTACAGCTTGTTGCCTGGTAATGGTGAGGCTGTGGTGGGGGAGGAACTGAAAGAAAGAGAGAGAGGGAGTGAGGAGAGCTAACAGCGACTTTGAATGAGATATTGTTTAGTGGGGGAACACAGCTGGAAAACATCAGAGCATGCCAAGCTGTACATGTGTGTAAGAGCATGCATACATACACACATGATGCAAAACAAACACATGCTTAGGGGTACACATAAGAATGCACTCCTATTTATTGCATCCCAGGTCAGGAGAGGTCTGGACTGTGCTGGGCATTTCTTACTGTTTTCTCAGGTTTTTGTTCTCATTTATGGCTTTGATCTTTTGGTCTCATTTTTTGTTCTCCTCTATTGAGCTCTTCAAACTACTTTATAGTTTTTTCCCCCTCTGTTTATGTATCAATACATTTTTTTGTCAGCTTTTCATTCATGTCATAGTTCTTGTGGAAGTTACCTTATAATATCCTTATAATATCATGCTGAAATACTGTCTGATCATCTCTTGGCCTTCTTAATTTATTCACTGAAGAAAGAGATGTTATTTTCTTTTCTAGAAGAGAATTGTCTTGGCCCATTTCACTCGGCAGCAGTGTTCTCTTTGCCAGACATTGAATTATGAAACATTAAAACCTTAAGAACAGTCTCTGTACAATGAGAAAGTAAATGTACAAATGTGACTTGATTAGTGCAAATATATGTGAGGATGTGTTGCCATCTACACAGCTCTCATGTCTCCATCTGCTTTACTTCCTGCAGTGTCAACTTGAGCTTCTGCCTTTCAGCCAATGGGAAGCACCTTCCAGAAAATCTAGGTGAGCCAGCAGACCACATCTGCCTCATATTATGCACATATAGCAGTGCTTTGCAAAAGTAGCTATATATAAAATCTCTCTAGTTAGCACTTTAAAGGGATTTTTCCCTTTATTTTTCCACATCACACTTGACTGCAACTGACAGCCACATTGCATCCTCACCTTACATGTGCCCTGCTTACCTTGCTTATTCCTGTTTTGTTGTTTTCATTCCATGACATTATCTTTGGTCCTACATGATCTTTCATGGGTGGACAAATAATAAATTTATTAGCTAGCCCACTGGGAAAGTGAGACCTCCACTGTGATGCCCAGTCCCATGTTTTGGTTTCCCTGAAACCTAATTGATGAGGCTGTAAATTGGTAGCTATCGTAATATAATAACATACGGCCAACTAGTTAGCTAGGTGATTGCATTAATACAGAAGAAGGGAAATGAATGAGTATAGGATCACGTAGCACATCATGTTTGCACACTTAACAAAAAGTCTGCAAGCCCAATGTTTTGGCTATGAGGTGGTGTTCTGTCCTGGCTTTCTAATAAAAGATTATTTGAGCCTGGCTATCCTCTTTATTTTCTTTTGATATGTTTCAGTGTGAGGTGAGTGCGTGCAGTAAGCAGGAGAGTTATACGACACCTTTGTACTCGGCTTTATTTTGCTCAGTTTCATCAGTATTACTACATAACTGCATGCTCCATCCATCTAGTAAAAAATCATTTTACCATCAAACAGATTGGGCCTTGAACATGTGTAGTGTAGTATAGTGTGTCCCACCATCATGAAGCTCAGTAGATTTTAATAGACAAATTAAAAACTTGTTTCTCACTCAATATTTTTTGGATGGAAGCAATTTTCCACAGATTTCCACAGATTTATTTATTATTTTTAACTGTGTAGCATCGTGTGTGTGTGTTGTAGTGTTTAATGTAGAAGTGCAGCTTGACCAGCTGAAGCAGAAGGGAGCTGTTCGCAGGGCTTTGTTTTTGGACACCCGACAGGCCAGTCTGCAGAGGAAACTTAAAGTGCCCAATGAAGCCAAGGTCTGCCATGAGACCAAAATCTACCTGAGGGTGAGTTAAAACATCAACAGAATTCTGTCAAAAATTCACAGATAAACTGAAGCCACTAGCTCCTCATATATAATCTGGCTAATTTTCAGAAATGCACTGCGATATATCTTTTAGATATATTTTAGGTTCTCATTTTTGAGATTATATCTAAACCTGTCTCTGTTTGTTCTCCTCTGTTCCGGCTCAGGATGAAAAGGAATTTCGAGATAAGCTCTCCTCCATCTTTATCGCCCTCAACTTCAGTCTGGATGCACAGGCTCCCGCAGACAGACACGGCCTCTGGCCAATCCTCAACTATCAGACCACTGAGCTAATTGAGCAGAAGGTATAAACATTAATTTTGTGTATGTTTGAAGAAGGGATTTTTGCATTTGTTTGAAATGGTTATACCATTAATATTGTACTGTATAGATTATTTTACAGATAAGGAGGTCACAGAAAGTGTAGTGGTGCTACTGATGGCGAAAGCAATTCTCTTACGTTTATAGCCGTATTCTTGACCAAATAATCTAGTACTATCGCTGCAGTTTTTCATATCACTGCTCCCCTAGTTTAAATATGTGGTCTACATTGAATGAGCTGACAGATCTTGCTTTTGGGTCTGCCCAGTTTTCCCCTTCCCCTCTTTTACTTCTATTTTCCTCCCATCCAAATTTTCAAAACATACATCTGGGAAGCACTCCAAAGGATCTGGAAAGAAAATGCAATGCTTATACACCAGGGAGAGATTTTCGTTACACTAGCAGGAGTAGTTCTTGGGATTGATGTGGACTGGTCCATTAGTCATAGGTCCAATAGTCATAGGTTTTTGGGTGTGGCTCTCGCAGCCTATTTGGGATCTGGCTGGGTTTTGTATTTGTCCTAGTTTTCCTATATAGTCACTGTAAGCCCAAGCTTTCAGTTATCTTGTACACCATATGGACACCAGTCAAAGAGAAAATGTCCTTTCTTGCTTTTCTTCCTTGCTGGTTTTCATTAAAGAGAAATGTGTTGTGTGCATTCCATACTTGGCATTAAACCGGAAATTAAATTTAAAGGCAGTATCTACAGTAGCTCTCAAGCCAAATATCGATTGAGTAGAAAAAGCAATAAACTCAGTTATAAACCTTCTTTTACAAGCGGTTGTGTTCCCTATGTGAATTCAGTGTTAAATAAAGTGAATCAGAATTAAAGCGATGTTAACAGGACAAGAGTGACTTTACTGGGACCTGTGTGCAAGTGTAGCTATGTATTTTGTTCCATTCTATCATATGCTGTAAGAGTGGTAAGAGTGAGAGTGCTAGTGCTTCTGAGAAAACTTTCTCTTCCTGATAATTTGCTCCACATGGACCATAGTGGAGTAATGAATTCATGAAACTCTGCTCTCTACACAGGCAATCCCCAGAGCCCATAAAGTATTTCTCTAGTACAGACACATGATGGTTCAAAATCTTATGAATTGCTTTGTTTGTTTAGAAAATCTATTTGAGTCCTAGTAAACGTATTCATTCCATGTTCCTGGTTATCCCTTGTGTGTGAATATATTGAACATATTATAGCAGAGAGTTGTTTTCTTTTCCTTCTCAGTGTAAACTGTGACCTTTGCATTTGCTCCTGCTTAATGTGTGCCTCTCTAGTTCCACCTTATTACTTGTACATAGTTGAAATAGCTGAAACACGAGAACCAAAAGCTTGCTTTAATCGTGCCATTTAATTGTGCTGTAGTTTGTAAAACTCATTCATGCATATATATATATATTTTTTTATACTGTCATTGACTACTGTTTGGTGTAAATGATACTCCTACAGCCCAAAATTGATAATGTTGCTTATTGGTTAATTTGTTCCCATTGGATGCTGATCAGCTGTTTGTTGATATATGTTTATAATGTTTTTGATGTTTGGTATATCATTGCAATCATTGTTTAACGGCTGGATTAGCGTTATAACATTTCCTTTTTCCCTTCCTTGAGAGGTTGAGCTCAGGCCAACATACAGCTTTAGTGAGTTGTGCAGGAGGCAGCCTCCCTCCATGGCTTTAATTAGAGCTCAGTGAGGTCTGATTACAGGGAGGGTGCTGTACTCTTTCTAATCTCCCTCTTCTATTTCTTATCCATATCGTCATCCACATACACTCAGGACTCGCATCATGCTGAAGCAATTAGCTATCCTAGGGCTCTCTCTCTCTTTACACATGTAGAGTCAATACAAAAGGTTCTTTATTCCCCCCTCTTTCTGCCTATGAATAAGGCATGTTAGTGTGTGTATACGGTTAGGTCCGGGAGTATTTGGACAATGACAGTGTTTTTGTGGATTTGAAATAAAACAATCAAGATGTGATCGAAGTGTAGACTTTCAGCTTCATTTTAAGAGGTTCCACAAAAATATGGCATTTACTATTTAGAAATCGCTTCTCGGTTTTTTGGCTAAGATCAAGTGTAGTATCTGTTCTTATCAGTTTAATATCTGATAAGTCCTCCATTCGAGGACTCTATATTAAATAGATTTTTAGAGCAGGGAGCTGGAAGAGGGGCTTGCTCTGTCCGCTCTATGCATCGACCTGTTATTGCAGTACCTCCAGGAACGGTGCACCTTCTCAATTTGGGGCCAGTTGTGGCCTAATGGTTAATGGCAAGTCGGACTTGCAACCCAAAGGTGAACCTGAAGGTCGCGGGTTCGAGTCTCAGGCCGGCAGGGATTGTAGGTGGGGGCAGTGAATGACCAGCGCTCTCTTCCACCCTCAATACCATGACTGAGGTGAGTCCCTTGAGCAAGGCACCGATTCCCCGGGCGCCGCAGCAAAAAAGGCTGCTCACTGCTCCGGGTGTGTGTTCACTACTGTGTGTGTGCGCACTTGGATGGGTTAAATGCAGAGCACAAATTCCGAGTATGGGTCACCATACTTGGCCATACTTCACTTCACGAATTACAGCCATTTTAAACAAAGTACCTCCATTTTCAGGGGCTCAAAGGTATTTGGACAATTGACTGACAAGACGTTAATTGACCAGTTGTGGTCAATTATTACCTCATTACTTCAAGACAAATGAAGCAGATAAAAGGTCTGGAGTTGATATCAGGTATTGAGTTGGCATTTGGCAGCAGTTCGACTGGAGCTACCAATATGAAGTCCAAGGAGATCGCAATGCAAGTGAAGGAGGCCATCATTAGGCTGAAAAAACAACATAAATCTATAAGAGAGATAGCAAAAACCTTAGGTGTGGCCAAATCAACAGTTGGGTACATTCTTAAAAAGAAAGAAAGCACTGGTGAGCTCAACAACATCGAAAGGCCTGGAAGACCATGGAAGACAACTAAAGTGGATGATCGCAGAATCCTTTCCTT